GAAGACTTTTATGCTCTTATAAAAAAAAAATCTATTTTTATGTTTGTATTGAACGAAGGAGACTTTTGTGTGTTGATATAGGAGAAAGTTCCATGTTTTAATATAGAGTTGGAGAAGTTTTGTATGTTTATATTGATGTGGGGTTATCAGAAGGGATTTAAAGAAAGGGGTTTGTTGTACACGTTAACATTAAAAAGAGATTTTGTGTATTGATATAGAAAAGGGGGAACTTTTCATCTTGAAATATTCACGGAATAAGAACATTTATATATATATAGGGGAGACCGGGGCAACTTCGGCATGCGGGGCAAGTTTGTCAAGCGCTTTTTTTAAAAAACAAATTAAAAGGAGACTTTGGTTATAGGTTAGGCAGTTGAGTTTTATTGGTGGCTTGTTGAGTGTAGTGTTTTTATTGTTCTCCAACAAGCGTAGTTGAATTATCAAGCAAATTTTCATTTTCGTTCAATTCCATATAATATTTTTTTTCCATTTATATTGAATTGGCAGGTTTTGTTATAATTCCATGATAACGAAAGTTACTTTTCCTGTTAGAAGGATGTAACTTCAACTTATTCACGTGGCCAGATCGTGGCTTGGCATTCTGTTCTCAGGGTTGTACTTAATGTTTCGAAATCATGACTAGCGGGGTAAGATCGGCAACATAAAGCCACATTAGAAGCAAAGGATAAAAATCAAACAGATGATAAATGAAAACATGTTTGCATTTGTTATTCATGTATATATGTCTTTGAACTTGCATTTCGTTGTAATAATATTAAATGGGTGTTGGATTTGTATTTCTTTGTTTTAATAGTGAATTCCAACTTATACATTGTTAATAACATAATTTTATATACGTGCCTATCTTGCCCCATTACTGTTGCCCCTATACCAGGGGCAACTTTAATAAAAATAATTAAAATAATTACAACTTTACAAAAAGAGAGAAGTTGCCGATCTTGCCCCTATACCCGGGGCAACTTCGTCAATTTCTCTCTTCTTGTAAAGTTGTAATTATTTTAATTATTTTTATTTCCAAACTGATTTTAACCAGTTCTATAGTAAGGTAACATTCCAATAGACAATATGCAAAGCTTTTTTTTCAGTTTACAGCAGTATTTATTACACAAAATTTAAGTAAAGCTTAACATGCCGATCTTGCCCCGGTCTCCCCCTATATAAAATAAATAAAGAAGAAGAGGGAGTCATTTTATTACAGGGCGTTTCACTCCAGCAACGTGTAAGAAAATTGCAAAGAGTTTTGCTAAATCACTCCTTCATCGTATCTTTTTTTTTTAAAGTTAGGAATTTCATTTTTCTGAAACCTTTATCAATTCTTTGATTGATTTTTTTCCTGTTGGCAGCATTTTCTTTCGAGTTCGTTGATGCTGAAACTCACCCTCGGGGCTCAAATGGGGCACAGACGACTTTGGTGAGTCGCACTGGTGTCGTTACTGCTTATCGTCCATCTCTGTGGTAGTGCAAACAAGGCTTTTAGAAGTCACTGCCTGCCATGATAGCGATTGTGAAATATATCCACTTTGTTTACCATACCGTTTCGCTTCTCCTCCCTTTATTGTTTTTAAATACTTGATGTGGTTTCTATGAGTCTTATGGGCCAAGTTATTCCTAAATGGAGCCTTAAAGGGTTCAGATAGACTAGATTCTCCTTTCTAGACCTTATAATATGTTACTTTTACTGCCTTGCATCTACATTTTATCACCCTGCTGCGAGGCATTCAACACCAGAAGCTGCATTCACACTGTAAAGAAGCACCCAACTTTTGGGGTCTTTTAAGGTTAAAAACCTATATCATCTTCCTGTTTATCATTCAGAAAGGAATCATTCTTCATTAAGGGTCTTAAATCATCGAAATAAGTCATTAAATTCAAATAACTAGGATAATACTAAAAGCACTATTTTCAGTATGTTACTTCATGTTACCTCACACGCGACTTTTATCGCAGTGTTTAGTAGGACCACTATTTTTAGAGTGGTTTTTAAACTAAGTCGGTATTTAGAGAAAGAAACGATCGAGTCAAAGGCATTTTAAGATATGAATGGAATTTCCTGTCTTAACTAAGACAAAAAACGGACGTCTCCCACCCTGACATTGCAGTAAATCACTGCTACTACACTAATAAAAAAGCACTAGATAACCTTTAAAGTTTATTTTATGCCACTACAAGGATCTCTCTAATGTGTTATTAATAGCTGAGAGTGATTGCTTTATTATTGTAGTAGTATCAGTAATGAGAAAATTTTCGAATGCTGCTACTGTAACTCTTCTATCTCGTTCCTAAGAGCATTAATTATTACTATTGTTACAAGTAAATGTAATTTTTATTAATTATTCTCCTATTAACCTCTCGGGAAAAGAAAATTAATGTTACTGTTACTGCATTATACATTTCTTCACTTCACTTTATTTTATGAAGTTACAAACTGGTGATACTGATCTGTAACAGTTATTTATGGCATAAAAATCCTTAATACCAGCATAATTTACTGTACTCTATTTACTTTTCATAATAGTGTATAATTAATACATACCTATACCTGTACCTGATCAATACTTTAACAAGAGGATGACATACAATGTTGATATATATAACTTCAGATCAATAATTATAGCATTTAAATTTAATTTAAGCATTAACTCTTAAAAATTGCATGTTATATTACATAAATTAGTACACGCATAGCACATAAAATACATAAATAACATCATAAGCAAACTACAAACAGAATAACACTGTGATCATGACACAAATTATTCAGTTATAATATAGATAATATCGTGAATACTCATCATAGTTTAGTTATGTGCATAGTTTATTATGTTGGTACCATTACAATGATATTAGCATAATAAATATGTAAATATATACTTGCTTATGATGCTACAAACATAAAGCATAAAAAAACTACCCCTTAATCTCTAGCTTCTACAATTTTACATGATTAAAGTATATATTACTGTTTAATTAAGTAAAATAAGTATTTTGTTATTATAGTAACATATAGTTTATTTTCTCTAGTCTGGATATAATGCTACTATACTCTAGCATTTATACTATTATTTAATAGTATAAGCTAACATATAATATAGTTTACTGTACATTATAGTTACATTAAAAATAATTAATCAATTAAATAGAATAAGAACTATTCAGTTATATCTGATAACAGTCTAGTATCATGTTACTATAGCAGCAGTGTTATATATACGAAAGATATTGAGAAAATAAACTACAGTAACAATAAGAAAATAATTTTAAATATCATATTTCTCTCAATGATAACCTTTAGAAAGAAGAGAGGAGGATAAGAGAAAGATTCTATCCTTCTTATACTATTTTTTTTTCTAAAAAATTCACCTTAAATAAAAGTCGATCTGGGAGGAATTGGACTTTTTTTTTAACGTGTGTGGAAGTTGAGCACATCACAAATAGTCATCCAATATCTCTTTGAAGTTTAGAAGTTAAGAAATTCCACTTGGATCTCATTCTGTCTTTACTTGAAGGACAAAGCATTGTGCTCTTGGGAAACGAGAAAGAAAATTTTTTTTAGCTTTTGCAGTATATTTTTTTTTTCCAAAAATAAAAATAAAATAAAAATCCTTATCTTTATAGTAATTCTAAAGTATTTTCTATCTAAAATAGGAAATTATATCACGTGATTGAGCATTAAAATCCTGTTTTTATTCCCCTTTGATGTGCAGTCAATTTATTTGTAATCGTTTCAAAATAGAGATTTTTATATGTTAAAATTATTTTTAAAATTTAAACCATTTTAAAGATCAATATGCTAGTTTAATATTAATTTCGCTACTATTTTAACAGAAATTTTTGATATTTTACCATTAGAATTTTGTCTTTTATTGGCTGTTTTTTTTAAATTTAAATATACTTCTTAAATATCAATTTAGCTATTGAATTTCATAAATCCAGTGCTACTTTTATCAATGATTAGTAGCGAATTTCAACAATTTGCCTTCTTAAAATCGTAGATGTTACTATAACAACAATATTTTTTAATGATTATTTATAATTCAAATCGATCTTCTAGCTTGAATATATTGCTTTTACATTAATTCAGCTGTTATTCTTTAATATTCTTACTGTGTTTTCTAACAAATTTCAATACTCTATCCCCCCTATAAGTTTCAATTGTTACTATAGTAACATTTTTATTATATATTGATTCTTTAACATTCAACATACCGATTTAATATTAATACAACTGCTAAACTCCATAGTTTCAGTATCATTCTAATTATATTTGCTAGAAAATCTCAACACTCGATCCCTCTTAAAACTTTCAGGTGTTACTATAGCAACATTATATACTGATCACTATCATCAGCAACACCCCACGAGAAGCATTAGAAATGTTACAAGTACAAACATTTGAAAAAACCTTACATTTTAGTTTTAAAAAAAACTAACGTTCTTTGGTAAAGGGAGGATAAAAAACATGGTTAGAAATCGATACAGCAGCATGGTTGCACATACCGTAAATGTTTTATGGAATATTATGAGGTTAATACCACCAAAAAGATCATTAGTGGGCTTTAATAATTCTTTTCCGTGATGTCAACCAACAGTTTGGAATCGTACATGGCTTTAAGTAAAAATTAATGCACCACATGGGTGGCACCACTCGTTAATAATCACTTTCATGAATTATTTATACATAAAATTGTTCAATTTTCATTCGAAATCATTGTTTAATTATTGAATATCCATTGCATATTGTTACTATAGAAGTATGGCTATTATTATTACTACTATAGAAGCATTGTTATGTAATACCCCTACGTGTCGTATCCTTAACTTCATTATTACGTAATTGAAGTACTATCGACCAATCCACGTAGGGAAAATATAAATGAATTAAAGTCAAAACTATTTAATTAAACATTATTATCATCTCATCTTACTTTAAATTTTCTCATTTAATTATTTAATGGAACAAAATTTAATTTAATCTTTAGATTGCCTCCATCTACAATTGTATCGTGATAGCAAAGACAGGTGCAAGAATGGGCCCACCAAAGCTTCACTTTCTCTCGAAGGATTTCTAGGAATGGAGACAGGATTCACATTGGATAAAGAGAGCAACACCTTAGCTCTCATCTGTACTGAAGTTGTAGTTGTACTTGCCTTCGATTCTAGGGAATTACTTATTCAGTGGCAGGTGAAAATTCGAACTAATTTAGTTGAAGGTAAGTCTCTACATCTATGTTCTATCAACAACACATAAAAATCCAATTTATTATATAAAAATATGTAAAATTTCTCATAAACTCTATATATATTTATATAAATTTGTATTTTAAAATTATGCTAATTTTTTTTAAAATCATTTTTATTTATAAATTTACAAAATATTCCAATTAATTAAATTTTTTTTTACATTGAAAATAATATCTTTTATGCAATTTTTACATTTTAATTCGTAAATTTATCGTATTTTCTTAATTTTGTACGTTTCAAACTTAAAAATAATCATTTTCATTACAATCGACATTTTTTAATTGCAATTAAGTCGAAATTGATCACGTTTAACTCGAAATTGATCATATTTAAGTCGAAATTGATCACGTTTAACTCGAAATTGATCATATTTAAGTCGAAATTGATCANGTTCCTAGAAGTTGTATTGACACTCTTTACGATAGGCCACGAAGTATGCATCATATTAACGGTCATAACATATCCAGGAGTCCTCCCAGGATTATTAGAGGCAGTTCTTTAGATGAGGATCATAAACGATTACTCGGTTCCGCTATTAAAACCCCCAATCAGGAAAATTTTCCAGCATGTACGTGTCGTTTCAATGCTGATATCCCAAAAGTTCATGGCATGAGTTATCCATGCACGTGCTGGACTAGAACAATGCCCAATCTTCAGAAAGAAGCCAGTAGTGGCAGTGGTAGTTCAACAGGTTCGCCTTCTTCTTCGCCTAAGCACGCTTCTCGCATCTGTGGCACCCTTCCTAGCAAACGAGAAGTTCAGGCTATGCTACCTTGTACATGTCGAAGAAATCTAACTTCAAATGGGCATTACTCTGTTCCTCGTTCTGCAATAGCCAATATTTATTTAAAAGTAAGTATCTAATTAGTATATTTCTATTTAATTCTACTGTTTAATTAAATTAAACGTTCCTTTAAGGATAAACAACTTCCGCTAGAGAACGGAGATGCAACATTAGAGCGTAACAAAATGACTGATATGACGCCAAAGGAAGAGTATGATGTACCTAAAAAGTTACAGGTAAAAGCACATTTTAATCTCTTCTCTGGATAATAAACAATATCCAACTCTTTCTAATCTTTAGTTACATTTTCATCCATTCTCCCTACAGGAGCATTGTTTACAGATGAATGGGCACCACCAAGATAACGAGATATGCAAAACTGTATTGTGTACCTGCAACAAAAACGGAACAGATAACTTTCAAATGCATACTGCAATCAGTCAAGTGTGTACGTGTCAACGTGTAATGTGGTGGGCAGGTAATTTAGTCCCCTGTTGGAGGAAGGATGCGGGTGATGAGCATCTTTCTCTTCTGGATCACGGATTTGTTCGATCGGATTCGGAATCCTCCATGTCTAAACAAACGCAAGCAGTTTGTAGAGAACCTCCTAAGCTAGAATTTATTAGTGAAACTTGTGCCATGCACAATGGTGAAGAAACTCATCCTAAAGAAGAGAAGAATCCTTCTAATCCAAATTATGTTAATTTAGATTTTACTAATTCTATTCAGGAGCAGTCAAATTATGCTAATATTTCGTTACTAGAGTAGTAGTAGCACTTGCAACCATTTACACAATCATTAAAATAAATAACAACCCCTTTCTGCATTAAGTAAATTGCATTAAGAAGCTTCATTTACTACTTTCTAATTGCAAATTTTCCTACTTAACACTAAGTTTTCTACTAAATTTTATACTCAGATTGTATCATCTAGTAGATAAATTTAACATTAAAACATCTGAAAATGAGTTAAAATGTATAATAATTTAATTATTTATCATCGTAATAAAATATTTTTATAATTATAATTAATGTAGTAAATTTCTATGTGTTCTTGTTTAAAAAAAAACTGGTCTCGTTTAGGCAAGTTTCCGTTTTAAACAGGTTTTTCTGTATATATATTTTTTAAATTTACAATGTTTTTAATTGTTTAAAAATATTACAAGCATTATTTTGTTGTCTTTACTTAATGTAAATACAGTCGAACCTGTAAACAACGGACACTGACGGGAACAATAAGTGATAATTGTTCACAGGTGGTCGTTGTTTGGAGGGTATTTTGTACGCAAATTTTTTTATTAAAAGAAAACCAACCCGCTGTTATTTAGAAATGTCCGTTGTTCAGAGGTTCGACTATATTAGAAATTATTTTTTAACTTGTAATATTTAATATTAATTATTTTAAAACAATTCGTCATTTATCCTATCTGCTCACCCTTTACTCGCTCCCTTTTTTTTCAGTCTAGACTCGTAATAATAATACAGTCAAACCTGTATATAACGAAAAACCTGTCATTAACGGAAAATTAATTCGGTCCCTTAAATTTTTTGCAAAAAAGTAACGTAAATTAACCTGTTTAGAGCGGAAACCTCTCTACTAAGGAAGAGTTGTTCAATTCCTTGGGGTTCCGTTATATGCAGGTTTATCTGTAATTTACAATAATTATAAATTTGAAATTAAATAACTGATATTTAAAAATATTTTTTAAACTAATTAGGTATACTTTTTAATAATTTTTTTTTACCTTTTGAAGTTTAAAAAGTAATCATTTTAATTCTGTAAACTATAATTTTTTATCTTAATTGTAATTATTTCAATTTAATTGTCATTAAATGTAAAAAATGCTAATTTCAAAATGTAAGTGATTCATTTTAACCTTCAAACGTATAAAATTAAATAAATAAAAATTGAAAGTGATTCATTTTAACCTTGAAATGCACAACATTAAATAAATAAAAANTAATGATGATAAATTAGCTAAAAACAAGAAAAATATTCCATAAAAGATTTACACGTACACACAACACTCACATATCTAAAACCTTACACATTATATTCTCTAAATTTATAGAAATTTTAAAATTCTATAAGCATTTTACCTTATATAAATCAAATTTCACTTTTATAAGCTGATTGCTTTATTGTTAGATTTTTTTTCATTATAAAGAATTGTTTTAGAAAATATTTTAAAAATTTTTAAACTTTAAAATGATTACGGTTGTTGTTGGATCGATTCATTTTAATTCTCTGAAAGAACTCGGTTGTATGGAATTCATAATTAAAGTGGAAACATCATTTTAAACAGCCATCCTTCCGTGGAAATTTATGAATAACACAACGCATGTTTCATACTAAACTACACACAGGAATGTTTATAAATACTTACAAAACGAATGTAGCGAGTTAGAATTATGTTTCTTGTATCTAAAATGATTAATGATTTTCACGAATGAAAAATTAGGATAGTGAAATTTAAAGCATTTAGTTGAAAAGAGGTGAGAATCGTGGGGTGGATAGAATTATAGTATCGTGTACTGTACGTCTTTTAATTTATTCTAAACGAATAATTTATCCATCTATTATATCCCTGTACTTCTTATATATATATATATATATATAAATGACTTATTCCGTATCTACAACTTTATCGTTTTAGTAGAGTAACTGTAGCCTGCAATTCATACTCTTGATAGATGATCCCTTTGAGATTACACTTATATGATATGTCTATGACCTTTCCCAGATTACAAAAAAGAAAGTAGAAAAAATATTATAGTAGAAATCGTTTCTACGTAGAGTGATGTGCCAAAAGGGCGGTTTGGGCCTGGCCCTAGACAAAGAGAAACCCAACATTTTATATTTTATATAGAATGAGATTTAAATTTTGATAGTACTTCTATATTTGTGACAGGTATTATTTCTTTTTAAAGGCCCTAGTAACGATTGTAATATGACACAAGGGCCCGAAATTTTAATCTTCTGTGTAAAAAACCTAATCAGAAATTGATATAAAATAGTTTCTTTTAATGAATAATCTGAAAGGGTCCCCAATTCTGACTGGTATGGATTGTTATAGGACACAGAACCTTCAAAAATTTTATATTTTATTTATGGAAATGATACGTATTTTCTTTTTATAAATGGGTAAGTGGTAATTCTCCACATACGTAACTGGTCGAGTCTCGTTTCACTCTTTCAGGCCCTAATATCGATTATTATAGGAATTTACAAAGTTTAGAAGTTGGGATAACATTTATGTAATGTTATAAATATGCATAACAACGCATTATGCATGAAAATTTGCTCGAAAGCTCTCGTGTATCTGGCTTATGATCACGTTTGTTAAATAAATATATGGATTAAAGTTACGCTAAATTAAAATCCTATTAAATTATTCAATTGAATAAACTCAACGAAATTTTGATAATTATAAATTTTCTAAGAGTTTTATGTGCTGTAAACAATTTTAAAATAAGGTAAAATTTTCAATTTATTTAGCATAAAATATCTTTAATTGTTTTTTTTTTTTTTTTACAGAACAGCAATTTTTGGTACAAATAGCCCATGCTCCAGCTAAAGGAAAATTGGCAAGTGGCCCTGCAAGATTACACTTACAAGATTATAAATTTTGCTTAACAGCTGGGGTTCCTCCACGTCTTCTTGGTACTTGGCCCATCAAAGAATTAAGAAGATTTGGTGTGGTAGATGGAAAATATTGTTTCGAAGGTGGATCTAGATGTGGCAAAGGTAAATTTAATCTTGAGTTTTAATGTAATTGTTTAAGTTTATTATTTTAATTTTAAATTGCTTACATTTTAAATAAAATTGTAAGTTCTTCTCGAAAGTTTCCAAGCAGTTTGTATAAGAACTTTTGCCAGTTGTATAGGAGTTTATACGGTCATTTTGGCTAACTGTACATGAATTTCTAAGTAGTTTCTAAGCTGAGGTTATATACGAATTTCTTCTACACGTGTATTTTCTTTATTTACTCTCAAGTTTATGTAATTTAAACACAAGAGAATAAACAACTTCTTGCTTTTAAAGCTATATTATGTTAATAACTTCAATTGATTATGACTCGATTTGGTTATGAAGTGTTGAGATTTTGTCAAATACTAATTATTGGATATAAATATATTTAAACTAGATATTATATATAATTAACTGTATAATTACTATAGGATATAATTTAGTTTAACTGGTTATAATTTCTCGGGGGTTTAAATCTAGTAAAATGGATATAATTTGCACGAAGATATAAATCGAGTTAAACTGGATATATGTATAATTAATATTGGATATAATTAAACTGGAGAGGTCTATTGTGAATCATATATAACTCTTGCTAAATTATATTTAATTATTGAATTATATATAGGCCTATATATATTATTTTAATATACGAAGTTATCTTTATTTCACTTTTCTTAATTAATTCAGACTTTGTAGTTGAAATATTGTTTGTATATAAATAAATTAAATTATTCTACTTTTAAAAGAATTAAATTTTAAGCAATTTTCTACAGATTTTTTTTAAAATTAAGTTTTCATATACTTTTTTGTTTGGACATTCCTAAATGTTTAGGTAGAAAGTATTATGTAGCTGCTTAGAAAGTGATTATAACTGTTAGGAAATTATTTAAAATCTTCTACTGTATGTAACTGAATAGAAAAGGTATATATCACTGTTTAGAAATTGTTTAAAATCTTCTGTTTAACTGCCTAAAAAATGCTTATAATTCCTCTATCACTTCTCAGAAAGTGTTTAGAATCTTCTATTGTATATAACCGTCTAGAAAATGCTTAGAATTCCTACATAACTGCTTATATAAACTGTTTATAATTTCCTATATAATTGGCAAAAAGTTCTTAGAATTCCTATACGCCTATAAATTCCTATACACCTCTCTAGTTTAATTATATCCAATAATAATTATACCATATCCAAAAAGTTCTTAGAATTCCTATATGTACAGTACATAACTGTTTATATAAACCTTTAGCAATACAATTTAATTAATTGAAACTTATAAAAACAAGCATAAATACGAAGAAATTCTTTATATAAAAATGGGCATAAAGTTTGGAGCTTATAAAAAAAAAAAAAAATAATAATAATATATTTTTCTCTATAGAAAAAGCCATATATTTTATTGGAATTTTTTTTTTTAGAAGTTACAATTTATAGAATAAATATTTTTTTCTTGTCCAAATTTATCTTTTTATATGTGTATATATTTCTTAGCTATCAAAAAACGTGATTTCTTTAATGCTAGCCATTATAAAGGAAAGTCGTGTGTGTTGATTTTGGGTTACGTTACTATTAATATTTACCCAACTGACAATGGTTATGATAGAGTATCTTTAAAGATGCCTTTGTATCTTATAAAACAAACTCCGAACAGCGTGTCTTGACAGTTTAGATATCGGAAAATCTATATGATATCCACTTGTATCTTTATAAAATATTTACTGACAGCACTACTTTATGATTTGTTTTTTTACTTATTTATTTATTTTTTTCGTTGAACGATTTAAAAAGTTGAATTTCCTACAACAAAATTTATAAAATATATCTTTAAAAATATTATTAAAACGTAAACAATTTTTATATATAATATTCTTAATTTAAAAAGAAAAAAAAAACTGCATCCAAAATTACATCTTTGCGGATGATTTATGATTACTTTTCCTCGTAAACTTGATGTTTTCTATGTAATTTAACATGATTTTGTTGATATTTTAAGCTTTATGTAGTTTATTTTTGTTGATTTTATCAATTTTTTTTCTTTTGCATAAAACACCTTGAACGGGCTACTAAATAGTCAAAAGCAGCGCCGATCTTCTTGTAAATATCAAATTATGTTCACTTATTGGATACTTCTTAAGCCATATAATGTAATGGACGGAGTTCTATCTTGTAGAATTTAAAAATTGAATGATTGCGTGATCATATCCCTCTTATAAATATCAAATTACGTTCTTACTTAGAGTAGTTTTCTTTTTCTAAACTATAGAGGATGATTGATAGATTACTGTATTGTAAAATTCTCTAATTGTCTTGATACAGAACACTTTGACTTAAAAAAAATTCCAAATTTTAGGAGAAGGTATCCATATCTTGCTTACGAATCAGGCGGAGGAACTGGCACAATCCGTGGATCTTGCATCAAGAGGGAAACTTCACGGTAGAAGAAAATATTCTAGAAAACATTCAGGTAAATTTTTCAGAAGAAAAAAAATATAAAAAACAAAAAAAAATATTTTAAAAAATTTAAAGAGTTTTTTTTTATCTTAGTTGATCCTGCAACTCGCATGTCTTTCCTACCAAAATCTCATGGGAGAGATTCTGATAAATGCAGCACGGAATCGAGTAAACCATTACTAAGTTCGGGTTCAGATGGGAGCACTTGTGATGCATTTTCTGATAGTTTCCGGATAGACGGTATGGGTGAAGATATATGTAACAGTAAATCGAACTGTCATATACATTATCATTGGCCTTCATGTTCTTATTATCGATGGGCAGGAACACCCGCAACCGAATTACCCGACTTACCCACAATAAGTGATTTTCAAGATCAACAACAGTTAGCTTCTGTAAATTCCAGCATGAGAAATATTAGTGGTTGTCCGTGCGATAGTCAGAGCACTTGGTAAGTTGCTTTTAATATAGAAGATTACGTATAATCTTTTAAATATTAAAATTCTTCCAATCTTGTCAGGTCCTTCAGCCATTGTAGTAAATGTGGAGGGCGATATTGTATGAAGGAAGGAATGAGAAATGGTCCCGAACTGAGGCAAACAAACGGGAACGTCTTTGCACCCCACTGGACTATGGACTTAACAATCGTTTCACCATCCAGTGAAGTAGCTGTACACGGAAGGAAAGGAGTTTTTCGAACATCTGTTAAGTCCCCACCTGATAGAAGTTCTTTGTGTTCGCAAAGCTCCCAGAGTAGTGGTACCAGCAGTGGAAGTAGTTCCGAATACTCAGTTCCTAGAAGTTGTATTGACACTCTTTACGATAGGCCACGAAGTATGCATCATATTAACGGTCATAACATATCCAGGAGTCCTCCCAGGATTATTAGAGGCAGTTCTTTAGATGAGGATCATAAACGATTACTCGGTTCCGCTATTAAAACCCCCAATCAGGAAAATTTTCCAGCATGTACGTGTCGTTTCAATGCTGATATCCCAAAAGTTCATGGCATGAGTTATCCATGCACGTGCTGGACTAGAACAATGCCCAATCTTCAGAAAGAAGCCAGTAGTGGCAGTGGTAGTTCAACAGGTTCGCCTTCTTCTTCGCCTAAGCACGCTTCTCGCATCTGTGGCACCCTTCCTAGCAAACGAGAAGTTCAGGCTATGCTACCTTGTACATGTCGAAGAAATCTAACTTCAAATGGGCATTACTCTGTTCCTCGTTCTGCAATAGCCAATATTTATTTAAAAGTAAGTATCTAATTAGTATATTTCTATTTAATTCTACTGTTTAATTAAATTAAACGTTCCTTTAAGGATAAACAACTTCCGCTAGAGAACGGAGATGCAACATTAGAGCGTAACAAAATGACTGATATGACGCCAAAGGAAGAGTATGATGTACCTAAAAAGTTACAGGTAAAAGCACATTTTAATCTCTTCTCTGGATAATAAACAATATCCAACTCTTTCTAATCTTTAGTTACATTTTCATCCATTCTCCCTACAGGAGCATTGTTTACAGATGAATGGGCACCACCAAGATAACGAGATATGCAAAACTGTATTGTGTACCTGCAACAAAAACGGAACAGATAACTTTCAAATGCATACTGCAATCAGTCAAGTGTGTACGTGTCAACGTGTAATGTGGTGGGCAGGTAATTTAGTCCCCTGTTGGAGGAAGGATGCGGGTGATGAGCATCTTTCTCTTCTGGATCACGGATTTGTTCGATCGGATTCGGAATCCTCCATGTCTAAACAAACGCAAGCAGTTTGTAGAGAACCTCCTAAGCTAGAATTTATTAGTGAAACTTGTGCCATGCACAATGGTGAAGAAACTCATCCTAAAGAAGAGAAGAATCCTTCTAATCCAAATTATGTTAATTTAGATTTTACTAATTCTATTCAGGAGCAGTCAAATTATGCTAATCTTCAATTTATCGAGACTTTGCCTTATTATGAGAATGTTAATTGCGTTCTAGCGAAGTTGTCTGAAGATTCATGTGTCCATTCAGAACTAGTTAAGAATCAGAAAACACTCAAAATGTCACCAAGTCAGTTAAGAAAGGGTAAAAATTACGAATTTACAGGGAGCGTTTACGAGTTAATGTCATTTCCAGTAGCTGAAGAAGAAGAAAAACTACAGAGGGATGATAATTATATGGTGATGCAGCCTGTATACTCTACAAAATCCCAACAATCTCTTTCGTGTGTGGAAGACAGTGACATAAGCGAAGAAGAGAAGAGAGCTAGTGAAGTAGAAAGATCGGATTCTACCAGCCTTTCTCTCCGTCCTTTTATGCCATATCTTCTTCCATGTCAAAGTAAAAATTACGAACAAGAGCTGACACCAAGGATGAAGGAACAAGATTTGAGATCGTCTAGATCAAATTCTTTAAGTGAATTAAAGAAAAAGATGCTGATGAGAAAGAGATCCAACTCTGCAGATACGCGTAATGAAAATGGTCTTAATGATGGTTCCGAAACTGATGAATGCCCGGGTTCTCCTAGTTCCTGTCCAAGATATAGCAGCAGGAAGACCTCACTTTTCTCAAAATTCACACTAAGATCCAAAGAAAAGTCTTTCAGTGCAAACGAGATCACGCCACCCTCTTCAGTACCATCGACACCAAACAATGATTCTCTGGAGAGTTTGCATAGAGCCCTTTATCATCGATCTGCAGATTGTTTAAAACACGAAGAGAACTTATTTTCTGATGAGGAACTGTCTAGAGATTTTGACGATATAAAATATAAAGTCGATTGTGACTTCGGTTGTCTTGGAACTTCTATAAAAAGGTCTTCGAGTGTTCCCTGCAAACCGTCCGCTGAAGTAAGCAGTATTGCTAGCCCTTCTGACTCTGGATTTTCTACTAGCCTTCCTAGAAGTTCTGCAGTTTCTATATCCCCTATCAATAACTCACATATTGTCAGTATACACAACTCTCTGCCCCGGAAACACAGCCTTGCAAAGCCGGAAATTGCGACATCACTCAGAAAAAGTAAACCGGATGCTGAGAAGAAGAGTGAACGAAAATGTCAGAAACAAAAGAATGATGGCAAGTGTAGAGCTGGTGGTAAGAAATTTAATTGTTTACTCCTTAGATAAAGGTAAATTTAACGTTTTCCTTTGGAGATAAACAAGTTTAAGGAGGAACATTGTTATAAATTGTTTTTTAGAAATTTCAATAAGAAAGTTAGAATTTCTTTATTTCTTTAATAAAAATTCTAGCATTCTTCATTTGGAGGAGAAAAAGTAGCGAGGTTTTTACAGGATAACGTAGATTTAATAGTGATAAATTAGCTAAAAACAAGAAAAATATTCCATAAAAGATTTACACGTACACACAACACTCACATATCTAAAACCTTACACATTATATTCTCTAAATTTATAGAAATTTTAAAATTCTATAAGCATTTTACCTTATATAAATCTACTTTTTCTCTTCCTCTTCTAGAATACAGACGTCTGATACATCCTGCAGCATCACCCGATAACCACCTGCTGCTAGAACCTAAAACCGTTAACACCAGTAGCTCGTCATCGGATATGAGTGACTACATAGAGACTCTATCCCTTTGCTCAAGAAGTAGCACGAGTAGTGGTAGCAGCAGCGACTACGTTAGAAGCGAAGAAATCTGTTCAGTAACCCACAAATCTACAAACGTATTAAAACCAAGAGCAGGTAGAGAATACGATAGTGCTGAAAGATTAGGAGTTAATAGTGATAAGAGCAATCAGGATACAGAAACAAACGTTTCAGCTGTACAATACGCTGTTATAGATGTAGTAGCAACAGCAGCAGCTAAGAAAGTAGGAGCATATAGAAATCAACAAAGAGAAGAGGAGAAGAATGAAGTTGATGATAGTTGAAAGAGGGACCAAAATAATTTAAGCTCAGGTATAAGAGAAAATGGATAGTGCTACGACACAAGTCAAGTAAAATCATAAAAAAAAAAATAGTTTTCTCATTTCTAAAATTTATTTTCTCTTCGTAAAAAAAAGATATAATTATTTAAGTTATAAAAGAAAAAAAAAACACTTTGTATATTATGTATGAGGTCTTGTATAGTTGTACAGTTTCCAGAATAGGAAATCAAATTTTGTCGCGATGTATAGATCATATAAGATTATAATTTTGTTCTAATTATCTACGCTCAAGTACCATAGATTTATGCAAAATTTTAGTAAAATAATTTAAGAAAAACACAAAAAATTTCCCACATCAAACAGTTAAAATGAAGCTTTGCATTGAATAAATCTTTATAACATAAAAAAAAATAAATAAATTATTTTAAATATTTTACAAATTTACTGATTTTGAAATATATATTTAAAAGAAAATATTAATGTGTTGTTTTGTATATCTTGTACTTTCTATATTGTAAAAATTGTAGTTTTATTTTAACAACAACAACAACAACACCAGCAGCAGCAGCAACAACAACAATTTCATAAGAGAGTTGTCCTTTTTGACACACGCGAAGAGTATTTTTTATTTTAAAATAAAATGTTTTATTAATAAAATATATAAATATATGCCAGTAGTTCCTAATTTTTGTCTAAAAGGTACCCAAAAAAAAATACCAGAAAAGTGCCATAGGATTAAGATGCTTTCCACCCCTTAGGCTTTGATAAAAAAAAAAAAGTAATTTCCATCCAAAATTTATGCAAAAAAAAAAATAGATTCTTGGCTCAAGAAAAAAAAACTACCCACGAGTACACAGTTATTAAATTTTTAAGTGAAAATGGCATTTTTTTGGGGGGTCTCACTAATGGCACATGGATTGGTACTCGAATCATTGATTAGGAAGCACTGGTACTTCTTTAATAAATTCTAGAATAGAAAAAAAAAGAGGAAGAAATACTTGTAAATAAATAAATAATGCAATAATAATTCAAAAAAAATGTTTAAAAAATTAATTTAAGAAAAATAAAAATGTCATATCTAAAAAAAAAAAATAACATATCAAGAAATATTTTTGTGCAATATCCTTCTTCAGAAATCTTGTATTAAACTTCTTTAATTAAAAATCTTTAAAATAAAATGAAAAATTAATTAATAATGTACTTAAATTTAGAGAAAAAAATAAGAGAATAATTCATAAAATTGGAAGAAAAAAAATAATAAATGATAGAATTGATGTGAATATTCGTTGTACAGAAAAATGTGTAGTAGGAAATTGTCTCGTGTTGTTAATTGGAATGTTGTCTTCCGGATCAAGAAGAGTTCACATTTTTTTTTTTTCTTTTTCTCCCCTAAAAAAAAGAATTTTCATTTAATTTCTGTATAATAATAAACAATAAAACTTAGAATATAAAAATTGTTGAATTAATTTATTATTTTTTTCTTCTCTATTTATTTATTACAGAAAATTAATGTTAAAAGTTGATAATTCCAAAACCATTTTGACACATTACAGGAAAATTTCCACTAAAATATAAGCCTGTATTTTGTTTTTGGATATTCATCTTTGGAAATTCTCTAAATTGCTGATAGTCAGAGACAGTAGATCCTTCTTCCTGAGGAATTGGCAAACTTCTCAACCAAGAGAGGACTTCGTTATTTACTGAGGGATATTTATCTTTTTTTATAGATAAAGGAGGTGCAATTGGTTTTACTTGTACATTAAGACGTCTACCGTTTTTATTTTTAACATTTTTTAACGTTTTTTCTCCTTCAAATATTTTAAAACCTATCGGAGAACCTCTCTTCTTGCCATAATTGGTTGCTAAATAATGCTTATCACCTACTACACGAAATGAACTCTTTACAACCCATTCGTGACTAGTAAATCCATCTTTACCTCTATGAAAATATCCTGTAGGTTCTCCTACACCTTTACCTTTTGATAATTTTCTTGATATAATAAATGCTTTACCTCTAGGACCGTTTTTTTCAATGTTTATATCTTTAGTGCTTCGGATATGTCTTCTTTTCTTTGTTAGTTTCCTTTCTGGGTATCTACAGGAATACGAAGTTCTGGCCTTTTCAGAACGGAAATTACGTTCCTGTTTCCTCATATTAGAAGGAATGAGATGTCTGTCCGGATAAATCGATGACGAATTTATGTTTTTCTTTCTAACTTCCTTTCCGTAGAATATCTTCAATCTAGAACTGTTTGAGCTGTTAATTGCTTTACTTTTACTTTCAGTATTATTGAAATTACCATTCCGGATTTTAAAATGTTTGTTTGGTTTATTTATTTCTACTTTTTCTAAACTTTCTCTTCTTTTCTGAGAGTTAATCTTATCAATTTCCTTTCTTTCATATAATCTTGTGGTATCTCTTCTTCGTTTTTCTAAATTCTCTAGACTCTTTAATGCTATACCAACAATTGTAATATGTCTATCTGCACGTATACTATCTTTAACGTTAACTTTACTAGACACACGATGATATAAAGTATAAGGAAGAGACGTTATATTAACTTTAATCCCTTCTTTAACATCCCTCTTCGAGTTTGAATTACGCATTTTATTCTGTTCGCATCCCTCGACGATACATTTCAGCATTATCTATTTAAAAAAAATTAATCATATATCACTTAAAATTTCATAAGTAATAAATAATTAAACGAATAAAAATATCGTAAATAACAAATAAATTATTCACTTATAGACATTACATAACTCGACAATTTATCATTTACGACCGTTTAACTTTATACTAATTGATAAATATCAAGTTAATTCGTCAAAGATATTGTAGAATAGAGTTTAAAGAGTTAATATATCAGCAAAATTCTCTTCACTAATTGCTTAAAATCATCCAAACGTTCCGATATCAAGAGTATCATTCCGCAGAGAGTCATTTAAAGACACGCTTTAGCTGTCATCAGTAGCCACAAAATGGCTACAAATCGTCAAGTAGAGAGATGTTGGGTCCATCTTTGTCTCTAGCGATCATTCTAAACTGCACACCCATCTCTTATCACACATATACTAGACAGAGAGAGGGAGGGAGGGAGTAGCTGTTAAGAGAAACGACGGATTTAATGCTACGAATCCGATTATTCATCGTAGAACGTTTTAAAATGTACTACTATACAACATTCCGCGGTTTTGAGTATGGTATACGAGGTATTTCTCTCTTAGTTAAGGAGTTAATATCATAAAATTTAGCACAACCCTTTGTTATAAGTGTAACAATAAACAAACTCTCTTAATTAAATGGATTAAGATCAATTAAAATGGTCTAATTAAGGTTACCATTTACTTATGTATATAAAAGATAAATCGATTTATTAAGTGAGAAAATTCAATATTGTTTTAATTAGTTAAACCTTATGAGATGTTAATTTTGATATGTTAAATATCCAATCTATTCACAAATGGATGATACTGACGAACTAATTTATCACTAACCAAGCTACAAAACTGATGAGTTAACTCGACTCTCTTAGTAAATTCGAATAAACTAATGAGTAATTTTCGTAGTTGACAAGTAATTCATTATTCAGTAGCTTCTCTAACTATTAAATTCTGTCTTTAACAATGTATGAAAACTGGTTAATTTCTCTTTAATCAATGAACGAAATTGACTTATTTTTATTATTATTAATGAATGAATGTAATTGATTATTTATTATTTTTTTTACGTTGATTGAAATCGATTAATTTATTCATTCCATTCATTAAAACTGATGAATTATCATTTATTTCTTCTTTCAAATGAATAAAACTAACGAATTTACTAATTAATAAGCTGAAGCTCCTGTGAAAATCACAATTTTTAATGAATGAAATATATTATTTATTTTACTTTCCCTGTCGAAAAAATTACTCCCCCCTCTCCCCTCCCTCGAGAATTTATATATTTTTGGAATTAGGGCCTTGAAACGTCGAGAAAAGTTGGGGGGTTTCGTGTATTTATGGATGTAAGGACTTCGATTTTGAACCTTAATAAGTCTCGTGAATTTTGTCGAAAATTTCTGAAATTTTGTAGGGAAGTTTGTATATTAGGGTTATTAATAATATTAAATTTTGGTAGTTAAAGATCGAATAGATAGGGAGATATAGGAGGTCAAAGTTAATGATGATTTTACTCGTTATTAGCATTTATAATTTTTTTCTGTTTTGTAATCCTCAGTAATATAAAGAGTACTTTTTAAAAATGTCTTCATAATAGATGGTGCCATAAAATTTTTAATATTATCCGGGAAAGTTATAAAACTCGTTTGATTTTTTTTTTTTTAATATTTTTTCACAAATACAATAACAACTATAAGTCGCACGTACTGTACTGTACTTAATCCATAAAATATATATATATTTTTTCCTTTTTGATTAATTAATATTGTCTTTACAAATAATCGTTATAATTATATTATTATCAAAGCCAAACTGCAATTTAGCACCATTTGTTTGGCTGTGAAATTGGTATTAAATCGAATATGACGCTAAATTGAGGAACCTCAAACAATAAGAATTAAGAAATTTCTATGATTTAGCGATTAAAATATCATTTTTTCTATGAAAATCGTATTAATATACTTGATAATTCATAGACCCTAAAGGATTCTCTATTTAATATTTATGTAGAAGGAATGTTCGCAAATATAATTGGCACTTTATAAGGGTGATGTTATATAATGTTTTATTATGATAAATTATATATATAATATAATTTTTTCTTCTTCTTCTTTTAATTTTAAATAAAACCATAAAACAGTTTGACGCATTAATTTAATACTTATCAACAAAAAAATCGCTCAGTAATCATCACATGATTGTAATTTCTCCTGTGACATCACACTAGAAAATGTCTATAATTTCATATATCCAGCTGGGAAATTTGACAATTATTTTGTCATTCGTCAGTTTCCTGATACGTCGACGACATAATTCTCCAGTTATAAATGAAATTGAATAAAAGTTTAACTCTTTATTTATAACAATGAAAATAAACTGACATCATTTTGTTAGTCACAATTCATGATATTGATGAATTAAACTAGACACGTGCCAGTCGTTTATCACAAAGAAAATTTAACAAATAATTCGCCAGTAAAAATGAAATTGAAAAATTAACTCTCTACATTATATAATAGAAAAGAATTTAAACAAGAGGGAAGGGAAGAAAAAGAAAAAAAATAAAAAATAAAAAAACCACGTGTTAACTCAATAAAGTATCATAATTCAACCAACCGAGAGCTTACACATTATCAAATCACTACTCAAAGTAAATTGTTATAAATTCAATTATTAATTTAATTAAAATTTTTATTTATAAAAAAAAATATCTTAAAAAATTAATTAATATTATTTTATTATTTGAAGAATCATTCGAAATTTATTCGAGTGTTTCACCCCTCAAAAAAATAAAATAATAAAAAAATTCCTACTCTTCTCATTAATTAGTAAGAATATTAAAATGGCAAATTACTTTGGTTGAATGCTTTTAATCTTGAAATGAAAGTATTTTTTATATATATATATAATTTATTTTTATTTTTAAGACTGAAAGAGAGGGGAGAGAATAAATAAATTCTCTCCTCCTCCTCCTCCTCCTCCTCTTTCTCTCTCTCTCTTCCTCTTCTTCTAAATTCTAGGTGATTTTTATTAATTAAATTGATTTAAAAATATATTTAATTATTATAAAATTTCATTTGTAGTTTTTTTATTATGGACTAAATATTTAATTCCTTTAAAAGCATGATAAATTTAAGAGAATTATAACGATTGAAAAAATAAAACAAAAAATTTACCATCAAAGTCATACAATTTAACATTACTTTCATCAATTAATGTAATTCGCAGTGATCTTCTTTAAATTTAATTAATTAAAATGGGCATTAATCGATGTAATTCAGTAAAATTAACGTCGTTTATAATAAATTTTAAACTCAACAAGCAAAATTATAACTCGTAATGTTCCTACCAGATAGCAGCACTTACTTTTAAATAATATATTATTAAAAATAAATAAATAAAATTATTTAATGCAATTTATTTATTAATTTTACATAAATTAACTTCCAAACTTCATAAAAAATTTAAATAAATTAATAAATATTTACTTAAAAAGCGCCATTATACCGAGTGCATTCTCGTATCAGATCTACATCTGAAGTGAAGTGTTACTCTTCCTTTTTTTTTACAGTATTAAATAAATAAATATAAATTATCGATTAATAAAAATGATACAATGTCACGTTGTGCGGTTACGTTCGTCGAAAAATACTTGGCACGTGTATATCTTAAATTATTTAGGGAAATAACGAGTTTACTGATACCATTAAGAGACATTAGTATCACCTAGTAAGGCTGCAATCTTGCCAAAAAAAAAAAAAACAGGCAAGCTACCGATGTGAACTGTAATTACTTCAATGGAGCACACATCTGGTATTTGTCATTGACTTGTGTTACATTTTGTCGATTTGTTACTGCAGTATTAACCTACATAGAACAGTAGAAAATTTTCACTTTCATCTTTCGAGATGAAGACTATTTTTATGTGGTCATATATGTACTGCAGCTCATATATATATATAGATATATAAAGCCTACAATTACATGTATACATATATATAACCTGAAACCACTATCCAACATGTTCTCAGGGAGAAGCAGCTTGTATTGCTTATGTCTATAAATATAGTAATTTGCATATATATATATACATCTTACACAGTATATTTCAGGAGTATAGTGCAGGTATTTTATTTCAGGTGTATTTAAGGTTTTAAACTTAGAAACATGTATAATAATCCCATTCTATTATCAATCAATGGGCTTAATTAGTCTGTATCTGCTTACTTGGATTCGTTTAGAGTTTCGTAGTACTTTAAAGAAGAATATAAAACTTTTTAAATTAGTTTAATTAATTAATTGTAAACTCATTTCTAGCTTTTTAAAATCCAACAAGGAGTTGTTTAACTTTGCCGGCAAAAGCATTAAAAATTATGTGTAGTGCCATCTGTTAGGGGATTTTATTTTAAAAACTTTTTATACTATTAATTATTATAATAAAATGGCAAAAATTTCGTTGATAGGGACCAGTTTTTATATGCAAATAACGAGTAAAATCTTCATTAAGTCCGACTCACTCTATATACGACACGTGATACCCCTCTCTATCTCCCCATCCCTTCGATCTTTAACCATTAAAATTTAATAGTAAAAATATATCTAATACACAAACTTCCCTACAAAATTTCAGAAATTTTCGATAAAATTCACGGGAGTTATTAAGCTTCAAAGTGTACGAACAAAATCGTGTCTCCCCCATACACACTATTAACTTACCATTAATAAGAAGAGCAAAATGGCTTGCTTCATGGTCCACGATGGTATATGAAAATAAAATATCCTTGTGACACTATTTAACTGACGAAGAAAAAGTCCCATTCAAGGATCACTGATTGATAAGACAAATGAAGGTAGAAACATCGAGATTGCTGGCTGTCAAGCGATAGACCTCATATTGTCTCATAAGGTTAAATAACGATCGATCCGTGAGACGATCCTATCCAAATACGAGTCATCGTTCATCACATAAAAGGAAGACAATGATGGAACGTGTACCATAAACAATTACGTCAAGACCACATATAGATTTCCATTGTATACATCAGACCTTATGTCACAATTAGACATATAGGAAACTCCTGTTCCAAATATATATATAAAAGATTTTTCGTTCGACGATGCGGAAGAATTGCTGCCTGAAGCCATTCATCAATATAACATCAACAAGGAGGAAGAAAATAAAAAGGAAAAGGGGGGAAAAAATCAATTTTCACTTCATAATTCATCGTCACTTCGTCCCTCTTCTTATTTCCAGTAAGCAGATAATTGCGAAAAATATAAATAAAATTAAATAGTAAAATTGTATACAATATAAGCACCTTTACTATTTTTATATTTTTATTTATTGTCTTTTTTAATACAAATTTAAATATNAATTGTACGAATGAATTTTTATTAGAGCCATGTTTTATTGGAGAATGCTTCAGAAGAGAGATCGTGATGTGTTGCTTCTGAATAAATTGCGTTTGATACAATCCGCAATTAGAAGTTTCTTCAATTTCAATAACAAATAAAATATAAAATAAAAATTATTTAATTATTTGTGTTTTATTTTCGTTCATTTAATTCCATTTTTACCTTAATTATTAAATACTAAAAGTTGAAACTGATGCAGTCCAATGGGCGAATCTGTAGGAAATGCAAGGAAGTGATAGGTTTGCAACTTCGATCGAACTCCCAGATGTCCACTTTCCTCGAATCAAGTAATCATTCTCTCAAGAGCTTGTGGAGTATATAATATTGTACAAATATTCAATTTAAAAAAAATTAAAATATAAGCTTAAATACATAAATGACAAAGAGAAATAATTTAATAATTTAGTTTCCGGTTTTTAAATATAATTTGGGAGTATTTAACAATGAAAGTAAAAAATCGATAAATTTCATAATGGAGAAATCATAGTTATGAGTAAATTCAAACTACAAAGGAAGATTTTTAAAGAGTGAAAAGACCTTGAAATGCAATCTCATTGTATTTGAGTTACAACAGTGTCCTTGCGAGTGAGACAATAGTGAAATATACTTATAAGATCCTTTTATAACTTACTAATCCAATCTGAATGAAGGAGTATTTATTCAAATTGTCCTACTGTTTAAAAGGGTTTCCTGTTCTAGATATATAATTTATCTACTTACAATAAACTATAATCGAGTTATAATTACGATGTTGTAATATAGAGGAAAGGGGTAATTATACAATATTTAAGCGATCATTTTTTTTTAACTTTAAATTACATTAATCTAATTATCGTTTGTCGACTACTGATTTAAAGTTTTGTGACGATGACATAGGATGCTTTTAATGGTAATTTTACAAGGTGAATTCTAGATTTCTCTACACAAATTATAGCAGAACTTATCGCATTTTAATCATTACAAGTGGCTATTCAGTATTTCGAGTTGGTAATGTTTATAATATAAGTACCCTCGCTATTGAAATATGTATTAATTTCAATTTTTTCTCTCTTATCTACTGCATTCCAATTTGTAGATATGATTAATCGGTACGCTACTGAGCTCTTATGCTATTTTATTGTCATCACTTGTCTGAGGCAATCGAGCTCTCCTTCCTCACTTGGAGATGGGGCAATTGTCTATGACGTCATAAGTCTATAATTATCACCAGATGGTTCAGCCAGATAGCAGGTTTGTGTATGAATGAAGTTAAGGTGGAGTTCGGGCGTGGTAATAAAAGATAAGAGCGGAAGAAAAAATAGGTTACGAGTCTAGCGTTGTGAGAATCGAAACCGGAATGTAGTTTCAATGTCACTTTTTGTCAATGACTGATGCTCAGACATTGTCGGCGCGATTGTCTCTCATCTCTAATGTCTAAGCTCTCATCTTTAACAATATCTAAATGATTTTTTTCGACTATCCTTCTAAAGAATACACAAATATAGGTCTACATATATATATATTTTCCTCATTTAAACAATTCTCAGCTAAATAATGTCCGGATGTTAACTAAAGACTATTCACCTGATATGGGGTTGATTTTCGGGTTATGAGGTCATCAAAACAGTTAATTTCCCGAAATTGTTAACAATATAAAAATCTGATATGATGACAGATTCTGAACGATAATAAATTAAATAATTTAACCTTAATTTGACAAGGTGACAAATGACTGAAACTTAAAAAAAAAAATAATGAACATTAACAGGATGTAAATTTTTAAAAAATACATTCGTGAACTTGATATCGTGCTTATCGAAAATAAATCTAGAATGATTTACATAAACTTTTCGTAAAACTTCGTAACAACTCACTTGATTGGTCGAAAGTCAAGCCAGAATGAAAATTCGACCAATCAGCTTAAAGTTTGGGTGGAAAAAAAACAATTAAAGAAATTTCGGGTAATCCGAAAACGTCTTAGAAACGTATTTAGATTAATTAATTTATTTATAACCAAGATTTAAAGTGTTTATAAAGTTAAAGAATTTTCAAACTTTTTAAGGATTAAAAAGGATTAACGACAGATTAAAGTATATACTGAAGTACTAATCATTTGTTTACACGTTTTAACATTAAATAATATTCAATAATAAATACTTTTAAATAAATAAATAAAATAAATCGATTTTTTTTCTATAAGAAAACGATTTTGAACAAAATTCGACGTGTTTGAACGTGTTCTAACTTGTCAACTTCTGTTAGAAACGCAAAGTACACGTTTACTTGCGTAATACTTTGAAAAACATAACTTCTATTCGATTGGTTCAAGAACTATAAAGTATTTTTACGTAAATTTGACGTCATTCTTCAGACTTTTATTATAAAGAGATGACGTCACATTGGCATAAAACTCTGAACTGTAGAATCGAACGGGTAGGCCTACAATTAGTGTTTTCAAGCCTTTCGCTATGTTACTTCCCTCTAAATTATGGAAAAATAAAGATGGTCATTTGGAGGTTGAACTCTAATGTGATTTCTTAAAACTCTTTTCACTCTGTGGACACTAAGCGAGGTCTTTTTTACAATGCCAGGCTCATTAGGGAGATTGGAGGTGAAAGATAGAACCTTACACATCAAGTTCAGGCCACTCATAATAGTTTTGGGGAATTACTCGCCCAAATTTGGTCCCGGATTTCCCAGAGCGATAAGCTGACGCCGTAACCATCTCGGTAATCCGGCCTTCTAATTATGTTAATTAATTAATTGTAATTTAATTTAACGTAATTATAATACTTAATTGTATTTCACCCCCAAAAAAATCATTTTTATTCCACAAAAATACATTTTATAACAATTTTTGACAAGTTCAAACTTGTCAATATGCAAATCAGTTATATTCTTCCTCAAAAAAAAAAAAAAATATGAATACCACGTTACTTTTATTAAAATTATGCAAAATATGCAAAATTAATTGCATTAGAATCACAATTAAATTTTAAATTATCGCACGAGTTTAACGACTATTCAACCACACCCTTTTTTTTAAAATGTACATAAAAATTCAATTAATTTCCATTTAAAATGCGCGTCTTCCAGTATTTCGTTGTAAGGCGAGTGGATAGCCTTTAAGATATTTAAAATACTATAAATAATTTAAGAATAGCCAAAACAACCGGTGATTTAACATTAAACACGATATTTTTTCCCATCAACAGTGATTAAATCTATTACGTATATCGGCGATTGTTTAATAGTTTCCGGCAATACAACTAGTCATACAGGACGTACAATGCTTCCAGCACAATTTCCACATGGCGAATTTGTTAAGAGAGACATTAGAATACTTTGCAAAGGGGATCTCAACAGGCTTCTGGCAATATCTTCTTGTAAACTTTACAACTAATTGCCATATTTTTTTTTCTTTACACGTTCTACTCTCTACTTAAAGGAATTTCAATGAATTCAGTAATGTAAAATAATGTAAAATCAATGAAAGAGAGTGAATTTCTTTTATGCCTTTTGACGTGGTTGTCCCTAAGAGGGATTAATTAATTATCACTAGAAAACTCTTCTATTTAACTCGAGTCGAATCAATACAGTGGAGAATACAAAGTTTTAACACGGGTTTTACAACCATTCTTCCCCTCTATTAACGCTTGTCAAATGTTTTGTGTGACTTTTAACGCATCCTCTATTCAATTCTCCATGACTCAATGGCTTTTTGCATCCCATTAATCATAGAAAAATAAAAAAAAAAAATTTTTTGAATCTAAAGGAAGTTGATGCGGTTAATTGTCTTAAATTATAAAAGAATTTCTTCTTTTTTTTTCTGGGTGCAGAAATTTAAAAATTTCTCCTATTATTCTCATCTTTGTGTTCACTTATCAAGTAAATTGAATGCGTGTAATTTTTCTAATTATCCTTCAAGTATGATATATTTTTTAGTAAATGGCACGTCGTTTTGTCTGTACAAATTCTGTAAAGTGTTAATACTTTGCTTTCAAAGATATAAATTACATTAATAAATATGGAGGAATGGGGGTGAAAAAAAAATTACGTGCTGCCATCTATTGCGAGAAATACTTAACACATAATTTAAAATTGTAAATAAAACGATGGTTTCTATAATAAATTTAATTAATTAAAACGTTTAAATAATTTTATTTTATTTTATTTTATTTTTTTAATAATATTTAAATTAATTACCGTTATAATTTTAATTATTATAAAATATATAAAAATTACTTAAATTTGATTAAATGTTGTTATTAATACATAAATAATAGATTATAAAAATAATAAATGAATTAAAAATATAATTAATATTTTATCCAATAGATGTCGACACGTACTGTATGCAAACTTCCAACACTCTCCGATAGATGGAGCGAGGTTCTTTAACCAGTCGCCATTTTTCAATCGTCATAAATATTTGAAATATTTATGAATTTTCATAATAAAAAAATCATTTCAGGTAAACAAACAGCTACAAATATTTCCTGTTGCAATAAAAACTACAAGAAGACGAAAGACGAATAGAAAAAAAAAATAAAAAGAAAATAAAAAAAGAAAGAAAAGCGGAGGGAGTTAATGCCGTTGCCAAAAGCAATTCGATCGTTGTTACTCGTAATACTTCGCTTCTTCTGTCAGCGACGTCAAGTTAATAAATGACAAAAGAACACGACTGTCATTGCTTTATTTTACTTCGTGAATAATTCACAACCCAATCTGCA